ATTCAGCAAACCATACCCTGTGGTCATTTTTTTAACCTTNAAAACCACGTAGATTTCATATTGAAAGCAACTTTTTTTTTTGGGGGGGGGGGCAAACCTTTTTTATTCGTACGTTCGCATCAAATTTAAGGTTCCCAGAGGATGTCATCCATATAATCAAATCAACATGGCCTAATTAAAGTTTAGTTTATTAAGTCGAGAAGCTCTGCCTCCTCCTCCGGCGACATGGGGTTACTGGAGCCATCGGACTCGTAGCTGTAACTGGGCGGGGGAGGTGCGCCTGGGCCCGAGGGAATGCTTGGCTCAGCACGGCGGTTACCGCATCGTGCTCTTCCACAAGCTCCTTCAGCTGCCGGATGTACTCCATCGCCGAGCGGAGGGTCTCAACCTAAGATAGAGAGATAGAGATATTCGTTTGTTACGCCAAAAAACAACAGTTACTCAAGCAACTGGATAGGATTTTGGAGGGTAGGGGGTGAAACACTATGGGTATTCTATCTGTATAGTACACCCATATCAGTTGTATTCAGAACTGTGCTCTATTCAAAACAATGTTCAGGCACGGTTCTGAATAGTCCACTAGTGTTCAGAAACGTGCCTGGGGCAAACTACGTTCATGGATACGCGGAGGAGACTATATAGAACTGTGCCTGATAGAACCATTCAGTCACATAACAAACTGTAGATATAGCACTGTTGTGGTTCTAAAGATGATAATTTGGTGTATTTATGTGATAATGTAACAAAGTTTGTATTAGTAATGTAGTTGTGTGTGCCACTTTGTGTATCATTATGCTAATGTTGGCCCCCTCAAACCAAAGGAGAAGAAGAAGAAAACAATCACCTTCGACATTTTCTTGTTGGTCCGCCCGTCCGGCACGAGGTTTCGTAGGTTGGCGAAGCCCATGTTCACCATCCGGACTCGCTGGCGCTCTCTCTCATTTCTTCTGGACATTTTCCTCGGCTGCTTCTGAGACGCACCGAACCCAAGTCTCGAGTCGGTCTCGGTGTCTGCTAGAACAGTTCTGATGAGTGATTCTTTGTCGTCTACGTCTTGTTCCACACACTCAGTTCTAATGTCCACGGCGTCGGAAACCTCGAAAGGCTGCGAACACTGCTGCTTCGCAAAAGCTTTCTCCTCGACAAGTCCTTTTGCGTACAGACAACTGGTTCTGAAGTCGCAGCCAACGTTAACCGCAGCGTTCTCTTTACAGCACTCCATAGTGACAATGCCACAGTCTCGCATTTAGGTTAGAGTGTCCAGATCTTCCGGACTATGCACCAACCCAGTCTGACTCTAGAAAACCTGAAGACGATTGCCCACGACCACCAAGTATGGCGCAATGACGCTGTGCAGACGGGGGGACGACTTTGACGCAGGCCACTCAGAGATGAGGCCCGCCCGGGCACTTGACTTGGGCAGGCCCGCCCGGGCACTTGACTTGGGCAGGCCCGCCCGGGCACTTGACTTGGGCAGGCCCGCCCGGGCACTTGACTTGGGCAGGCCCGCCCGGGCACTTGACTTGGGCAGGCCCGCCCGGGCACTTGACTTGGGCAGTAGGTAGGTAGTTCGGTAGGTAGGTGGGCACAGGCGTGGGGAGGGCGCTGTTGAGGCGGCACAACACAGTTTTAGCCCTATGGGGATTTCTATTCTATAGTTAAAGACCCCAAAGTGACTCACTTCGACTCACTGAAAATCATAGTAGGGTGCACAAGCAAGGTTCAGATTTTTGATATGTTTAATTTCAGGGTATAGTGTACAAATTATGCGAAAATGAGCTCAAATTTGCCGGCTAGTTTTCTTCTCATGCCCTCTTTTATTAGCGCCATTGCGGAGGTCATGGAACTGCAGCCGACGCACAGTACTAGGCGGGACAAGTATCCAAGCGCAAATCTACGCCGACTGAACACGCACCATAAGTCAACTTCTACAGTCTCAAAACTGACATATTCCTCTAACATTTACCACAGGTTCTATCTCGATACCATGCTCAGAACAATCTCTGCACCCTTCTCTAGTATTGTGCAGCACTAATTTGTGCCCGGACTACTTTTGACTACGGGGTTCGCCCATAAATACTGTGTTGTGCGGCCTTGACGCCTGCATGACCCTCAAAAGGTTAAAGGTCATGGGGCATAGAGAAGTCATAAAGAAGTGAAATTTTGTTTTGGGTGTAACTATTGTTCTTTTGTTAGTATATTGATGACGAAATTGTTTACAAGGTAAGTGGGGATTAGAAAAGGATGAGAAGGAACCCTGTAAAAGGTAAAGCACACACAAAAAACATATTGTAAGTTACACTACAATGACTATGTACAACGCAAACCTGTCTATAGTATATTAGCAACCGCTAATATTACTATCTAGTTTAAATATTTGACATCTTCAAAAAAGTTTATCAATACCGCCAACTTTTTGTGTGTAAAGATAATCCCTTTGATTTGACTTAGGCGGTTAAAACTCGTTTATTTGACGAAGGAGAAGCTTTTTCAAGAGCGTCAGGCGTTTCCAGCGTTAGCAGCACAGACGCAAAGACAAATTTGAAAGATTTGAATGCCATCCTGAATTCGGCGAGATGCGTTCTTGAGCAATTCTTCGTTACTTGCGAAGTCAGATCACCCGGACCCGTCCTTGCCTCTCAACATGCGGGAAAATGCGTCATTGAAGGTCTAAAATACAAGTTTTCCCGGGGGAGCATGCCCCCGGGCCCCATAAATGCGAGTGCATGTGGCGCTCACTTGCCCTCTTCATTAGTGGATGCACCCAGGACACCCAGGAAACATCCGGCTGGTCGGGAACGCTGATGTGATGAAGTACATTGTATCTTGCATGCGCTCTTAATTGCAAGGTATGCAGTATTTTTTATTTATTTATTTGTTTATTTGTATCAACGTATCAACAACATATCTCGCAGCCTTGACATACAGGGCTGATTTCTGATGTTTGTTTACAATATAAATCATTAATTAATAGTAGGGAAATACAAATTACAATCATGTCGGAATGTACAGATCAATATGATATCACTTTGGTTCAACAAATGTAGGTATTTACAATCTATATTGTCATTGGTCACTTTTTCTCCCCAATTCAGATACCCGAATCTGACACGTTGGCAGAACGTACCGCGTCTGCGAGAATCTAGCGGTTTTCGTTGGATTTTTTTTATCAACGTTGCATCAGAATTTTGCCTGTTGCAGACGATATCTTTTCCGACACAATATTTGGAACCTACCGACAGGATGTTGAACCTTATATTGCTATGCATAATACATTACGGCAGGTTTCCTGCAGGTGCAATGCGTTCTAGATCTGCCGACGTGTCCCAGAATCTAGCGCTGTATGAAAATAAAAAATGTGCGCCAATTTACCGTTAAACGTTACCGGGATCCCCCCATGCAGACCCTCAACAGTCCTTGAAAACGTTATGTAAAGGTCAGACGCTGAATAGATTCGACGCCAAGAGATGTACGAAAAGGTTGTTAATTGCAAATTGCAACAACATTCTCTCGCCCATACAGTAATAACGTTTCTGAATACTTTTTCCGTCGTCTTGACTACTTGCCATTGAGTACACTGCTGGCTAGTCACTCTTTTCACATAACCAGAAAGACTATTCCTGGCTATGCGACGAGTTTTCTTGCTATACGTATGAGAAGGGACGCCGGCACCTGTGGAAGAAACTATCATCAGTATGGAAGAAGAAACGGACGGTTCGCTAGTAGAAGACGGCATCAACCAAGTTCTGTCCCTCAGCTCAACATCTCGCGATCTGCAGACGGCATATTTCATCATCAGCCTGGTGTTGTCGGTGGGATGCGGCCTGCTGCTCATCTTCCTGGTTTGGAAGAAAGAGTATCTGCAAAAGCCCAGCCACTACCTACGGTGTAACCTGGTGGTAGACGACATCGTCTTCACCGGTTGCCTGATTCCCGTGCGCGTCTACGCACTTTTCCGGCAGGATGTCAGCGGGCAGCACCTATGGTGCTCAGCAAGAGCGCTGGTCGCACCCGCGTGTGGGATGTCCATGCTTGGTACCTACCTCATGGTGGCGATAGACCTGTACTACTTCGTGTGCGATCCCCTGCACTACCATGACAAAGTCACCACCAAACGTGTGCTTGTAGGCATCTTCACGACCAGGGCATTGTCATTGTTCTTCGGATTCGCACTGGCCCCGATGGCTTTCGGCGGACCGCCCAAATACGGCGTGATTTGCGACTACGGTCTTGGGAACAGTTTCTCCTTTCATGACATTTTCAAAAACACTTACTTGATCATTCTAGTACTCACTGCACTCTCAATCCCAGTACTCTACTGTCGTGTTTTTAAGGAGGCCAGGAGACAACAGGAAAGGGACGAGAACCGGCATCTGTGGGTGTTCCAGACTAAGGCGTTTAAAACCATGGTGCCGCACGCTACCGTGTTGACTGTGACAGTGGCCACTAGCGTTTTCCAGGTGGCCACGTTACGCGCTTTGACCAGTAAGGAACAAATGCCACCACGCGCCCTGGTTGTCGCCGAAAGCGTGGTCATCCTGATGTTCCTGACGCTATCGTCCATGGCCAACCCTGTCGTCTACAGCTTCCGGCTACCGGAGTTCCGTCGAGCATTTCGAGAGCTGTGCGGGAGGCCCAACAACCAGCTACCGGCTGCTGTCACTGGTACTGGGCAGGGACGGTTGGGACGGAGGCAGCAGGATAGGGTAGAGATGACTGCGATCACCGGTACTAGCCAAGGTGGGCCGCCAATTGCAGGGCAGCAACATCAGGATAGCGCAGGGATGGTGGATATCACCGGTTCTGGGCAAGTAGCGTCGGCACGGCAGCAGCAACATAGCGTAAGGCTGGATACTATCACTGGTGTTCCTGGGCAAGTGGAGTCGGCACAGAGGCATCAGGATAGTTCAGCCTTAGAGATGTTAGCTGTCACAGGGTCTGGGCAAGGTGCGTCGGCCACAGTATCAACACCAGCTCAAATGTCTACAGAAGGCCTGAAGACGACAGCAGAAGACGACCAGGCACACAACAAGCAGACAAGAAAGGTAGACATGAGCGCAGGAACAGAGTCTTGTGCGACCACTTCAGAGCTTTCGGCTGCGCGTCGGAAGTTGGCATGGCAGGAAAGTGCAATCAAGTCAGGCAACAAACTTTGAGCCAACACTGAAGATGACTGATACACCAAGGAGCTTTAGATTTGATTTTTAACCTCCTTGTATCCACAAAAGACAAAAAGTAACTCGTTGTGTTAGATCAGCTATAGAACCGATATACGTAAGATTAACTGGTTAGAAATAGTTCAGCGGGACTAGGAACACGACCAAACTACTGTGTATTGTCACAAGAGCAGAGGTAAGCTTCTTTGCACCGCGTACCGATCCTCAAACTCCTCATTCACTTGATTTAGCCTCCTTCGCAGTCTTGTTGGGCGTCGGCGTTATTTTTGTGAGCGACGCGAGAAATATGCGGCCGCGAGGGACGATTTGCTGCCGAGGGAGTTTTTGCCGCGGAGAGAAGGTGGAGAGCGAAACCGTAATATTACTCGCGTCGCTCACAAAAATAACGCCCACGCCCAACAAGACTGCGGAAACTACAAAGGATGGCACACAGGCTATCACTTGATATGATGGTAATTTATAAACAAAATGTCAGAAACGCCTTCATATGTATAGTTAAGGAGCTTACAAAAGTCGCTGTACTTTTGTTGTGTCAATAAAGTTCTATGTTCGATGTAATAATCGTTTGCATTGTAGACTGCCTGCATTTGATTTTTCATCTTTGATTTACCGTTTAAGCGTTGCCAAGATCCCCCCATGCAGACCCCCATTGATGAAATATGATAAAGGTTTTTACGTATTAGATATAAAGTGCAAGGTGTTTAGCTACGTGTGTGATGGGGATTCAGTTGACTCAAGCGGAAGTCTCTCAGCTTAAAGTAATTGAGAGAAATGGAAGCGAAGGCTTAAACGTTTCCTCTCAACCAAGAGACGAGCAGGGAACTAAAACAACTGCCACCCTTAATCGTGGTGTAAAAGTAATTGTTGAATCGGTATGAGTTCGTTAATGTTAGTCACGCACACATGCACGAACATGCCGAAACTTTCGTCTGTTCATTGTGATGCAGTTCTGAGTTCTGGGCAACAGCACATGCAGGGTTTATGTTAGTCTCTACCAGACTAACTACCCTGGCTATATATAGGCGAATATTTGCCGGGGGAGTTTGGCCGCCTTGCGGTTTGACTATGCCGCGCAGTCAGTGGACTACAAAGAAACCCGCGACTTTCCACAGGCCATCGGAGGGAAAGAAACTACCTCCCCGCCGGACTCCCTTGGCCCATTTGATTATCTTTTTTTGCCGAATTTTGTGCATTAATTTTGGAGTGAAAATAATGTTTTTTCGTTGATTTTACCAAACTTAAAAAGGTCGAAGAAACCAAACTCAGCCGGTCTTGTAGCTGTAGAGATATCCTTTCGTCCCATATACAGTCCTTCTGAATTATTCCACGGCTGAGACGGTCGCTAGATTTGAGGGTGTGCAGCTTCGAATAGAAACGCCAAATAAACTGGGGTGTGCCCCCTTAATCGTAATGCATTTTGGCTTAAATCCTTTCCAAAGCATTCCATACAAGGTTTGAGTTGTCAAAATTAAAACACCCTCGTCATGAAATGTTGTACAACGGAAAAAGAAGAAGACGACAAAGGATTTACTTTGGCCTCAACCTCCGCGTTCTTGTCCAATCAGAGCGCCGTATACTTGTGACGTCACAGGGCGAAGGTTGCAGAACAGAAATGGCGGACGGTGGAGAAGTCGTCCTGTTGTCTGACTCTGAGGAAAACCGTTCGAAATCAGAGCCGCACGAAAATGGCACCTCAACGGACGGTGCAGACGTTAAATCGGAACCTTCCGGTGCTGACGGTGGCGTGAAACCCGTTTCCAAACTCTCCTTAAAGCGGAAGCGCGAGATTTCGGGGACGTCAAACAATGGCGAGAACGGCACGGAACCTGTGTGTCTGTCGGTTTGCGCGCCAAACACGGACGTTCTCTCTCCATCATCAGGTCCAGCCGAAACGGTACGCTTCTTCCTGTACCTCTCACTTTCTTCTGGGGTCTTTTCGATGCATCCTGATAGCAAACATACCCGAATATTTTTGTGTGTGTGTAACACTTGCAGGGCTCGAAATACTGGATGGGTATACAAAAATAACTTCCTTGCTGTAGCTATGCACCAAAATGTGCACCACATTTTGGCGACGCCTAAGGGGGCACACCCCAGTTTATTTTCACCCTCAACTCTAGCGACCGTCTCTTTCAGGAAATACCTCTTAAGCCAAAACACTCTGTTTGCAAATGAAGGATATCCCTCTA